AATCTTATATGAGATAGCTCTAAGACTGATGTATTTTCTTACTATGTTGCCGCATTTAAAACAAAATTTCTTACAGGGCAAATCACTGATTATATCGATGTATTTATTTTACTTAAGATTTAGCAACGAATATTTCGAATATTATGCTAATAAATAATAAAATTTCTATGCAAAAATAAAAGGAAATTGCAAATTGTTTTCGCCTTTTTGGAAACTGCATATAGGGCAAACAATCTTCTCCATATATTATTCCTTTTAAAAGCTATTTATTTTTATTTTTATTTTATTTAATAAAAAATTCGTCTGCTCTCTTGTAGATGTATGCATTTTGTGAAACACCCTAACATTTTACAAGCCACCTAACATTTGATGCTGAAGTTTTGCTGTTGTTGAGCTCGTCATTTGCATTTCTGGCTCTTCACCCGTCAAAGTTTGTGAAGAAGTTTTGCTAGGCATCACATATGCTTGAGATGAGATTGTGGGACTTCATTTTAATAAAATATGTTGACTCGGACTTGAGTAATAGCTGCAATAGTTGAAATTAATTGCTTGTAAAGCAATAGAGACTCAATGCCAGGAGGCGAGCTCCAAGGTGACCTGCTGTTAGCTAGTAGTTCGCAAATAAATTAAATGCTGACCATGACAAAATGCTGTCACAGAATCCATTTGGCTTTCCGGTCAAGTTGGGAAAATTGGTGAGATGATATCAGATGGTCTTAACCGTAAAGTTTGAATAAATGAGTATACTTTGCAATGCATGTTGCGAGGAATGCGATGATGCGAATTGACAACTAATGATAATGTAGGAAAAGATCATTTTTAGTTAACCTGAAGTTGGGGCCTGCAGTATCTGTTAGAGTTGTCAAAATGGGAAACAAAGCTCACTATTCTAAATTTTTAGCTTCAATTGTGACGAAATGCAGTGCGCCTACACACACCAAACAACAGTGCCTCAAATCAATATATTCATTTAAACTCATGAGCGAGTATAAAAATAAATAATCCCTGTTAAGCCTTGCGCTTCAGTGTAAATGAAAATCTGCCTCTTAATCAGCGTAATACCCAACATCTGGTTGTTAATATACCATTAACATATCATTTACATATTAAATCTTCATTTTTAATTCGTAATTTTTAATTATTTATAATGGTTTTTCTTTTTTCAGATTTTTTTAAAATGAGTTTTTTTCAGCATATGTGAAAATTTACTATTGTGAACGTGGGGTGCATATTTTAGCATTATAATTTGAGATGTGTAAAGAAGCAGAGAAAATTAAAATGTGCGCTGACAAATTTAAATTGAAGCAAATATATCGATTGGACTCGTCGAAGGTGTTTCAAAGACAATCCCCAATTCCCTGTATTGTCATCAAATCTCTGTAGACTTTTGGGCTGCCAAATCGAGAGCAAAATCCAAGTTCAAACACAAATGTCGCCCCATTTATCTAGCTGTTTGTTGTTTTGGCTTGGCAAATTAACCACATTTGATGGTATTTGCGGGCCGCATGAACTTAATACGCGCTACGTGCTGGAATCTATAATTAATGCTGGGACGACGCGTGTAATAAAATGAATTTGTTGATATTGTCAAACATTTGGGCCGTGGCTTTCATCACAATTAACTGACATTTGGGATTTGCCTACCAGAGATGCGGTTAGATTTCTGGGCAAATTAAATTTGTTGTCATATGCTTAGCCTCTAATTCGAGTGTGAATAAAACAAATAGAATGATTTTTGTATAGAAATTATTCATATGTTTATAAATTGTATGGAAGTGTATTATTAAATTATTTGATGTATTTTGACAGACATTATTATGTTGTTGAATAAGAGACTAAGCCTTGTCCTTGTCGTAGAATCTTCAATTATGTTCCTCAGCCCACTTGATGACCTTAGGAGATGTTGTCAATACCTTGCTCATGCTTGACTAGCTTTTGACTGACTCAGAGTGTATAATTATTGCTGTGTTTTCATTTATGTAAAGCACTAAAATCATGTTTTTCTATTTCATTAGGACTAATGAATAAATTTACTAACATTTCAATCAACCTTGTTGTCTCATAGATAATTCAAAAACATAATTTCATTTGTAGATACTTTGTTGACTCAAGTCCATGAGATTTTCATTTACTTCAATTCTCAAATAAAAAATAAAAATCACTGACAAACTGTAGAGAGCTATCCATAAGCGGCTTCCTTCTCTCTACCTCCTCTCTCTCTCTCCTTTTCACCTCTTCTTTTATTAAATGCGACATAATCGAGTTGGGTCTGCTCTGACTGCTCACATTTGACGAGTAGTTTCTTAACCTGATTAAACTTTCATTGAAACTGACTCTCGCATGGGTTTTGAGCGGATTTAAAGTTTGTTAAAAGCAAAACTTTTGTTTTACCTGGCTGGCTGGCTGCTTTCTAACAGCGAACTGTAGCTTATTTTTGGTTAGCCCGGCTTAGCTTGTGTGTGTGTTGAAAATATACGCCAAGGTCATTAATATTTCACTCAGATGCTATTAGCATAGCTGGCACTTAGGCGCACTCTGCACACCCAATTATACAAGCTCGACTTGGCTGGCTCGTTGACCTAATGCGTGTAATTCATTAGCTGCAATTAGAGTTCGATTGAAGGTTCAAGGTCCGTTGGCGACGGAGCAAAGAGCCAATGCTGGCAATGCTGTTGCCACAGCCATTGAACAGACATGTAGCACTTCATTAATGCCCCGCACTCCACTCTCCACACTCCACACTCTGCTCTGGCATTCCTCGATCTGCTCTATGCGAAAATTATAATAATAATGTGGTCGTTTGCTTTCACTGGCCCACGTGCTGCGTTGGCGTTGTTAAATGCGTCCTTAATAGGCACAACATTTGTGGCAATGTTTTTACAGCACACACACACGCACACTCAGACTCCTTTGGCTGCTTTTGTGCGTGGCTCATAATTGTGTTACATTTTCCTTTGGCCAAAAATCAAATGAAAACGAAAAGAAGCATTTATTAAGATGAAGCAAAAGCAACAACTGTTAATCTAGATTACCCACATATATTATTCATGATGTGTGCATTGGCTTTTGATTCGGTTTCGCCTTTATTGCAATTACATAATTCCCCTTAATTGCAGTTGTTATTACTTATTGTTTTTGTTATTTTTAACCGGTGTGTGTGCGATGCTGTTAATTATGTACTTGATTGGACTTTTAACAATGAAAATAATAAATATTATAACAACGCTAATAAAAAAGGAGAAAAAAAAATAATTTAAGTAATAATGGGAAGAATTTTTTATTATTTGTTTATTTATTTTGTGACTGATGTAGGTCAAATTGTTTTACGCACTGTCAGTTAGCTCATCACGTTGAAGGCTATGCTGGACTACATTTGGGTTAACTGCCCCCATTCGTTGCATTCGCTAGTTAGTTCGCATTATTTTGAAAGGTGATGTAAATCCTTCTGTGTGTGGTCTGTGGTAATAAATTTAAGCTGAAGTGGCGGACTCTTCTTCCTCTTCTTAATTTCCTACATTTCTGTCCTCCTCCTCTTCTTAAATTCCTGCATCCTAGTCTCTTCCAAATTTGTGCTTGCTTTTGGCCACCCTCTATATTAAAAGAAATTGTTATCTACGCCGCGGCGTCTAGTGAATTTTTACAGCTACAACTGTCGCCCGCTTTTCCACCTTAAGTAGTATCTGAATTGAATCGATGCAAATGAACAGAGAGTTATGTATCAATTAAATAAACGTTCAGCTCAGCTTTTAGTTCAGCGTCAGCTCTAGATCAGGGTAACATTCTGTCTACCGTACTATTTCATTGTACTTTGCGTGCTTGCCTTATCACTCACTCACATTGCGTGCTTACGTCCACTCGTATCTCTATCTCGGTTTGAATCTGCTTAACCGTTTTTAACTGGGAAGAATCAACCTTCTTAGTCCTCGTTTGAAGTTGAAGCAAGTGAAGCCGCACGTGATATACCCATATGTATGTATGTATGTATATGTCGGTTATTTCTGCAGATTAGATAATTTTTTGGGAGGGAGTGTCCCTGAGTGTCCCTGTGTGTTTAGTCAGATGAACAATGTAAATTCAAAGCTGAGGAACTCAATGAACATTGACATACTTATTTCGGTTTTACACATCCAATTACAGCGATATTGGAAGCTGAAAATCTTCCCAAAATGACCAATTGTTACATATTCTTTGAAAAACTAGTTGAAACTAAAAGCAAACACAGAATGAAATTGAAAATTGGATCAAATTGAAATAAATTAACAATTATATACAAAAACAAAATTTGAAATATCTTAAATTTCGCCACTTTGAATGCCCTTACCGTCGAAATATGTCTTCAAGCGATAGTTCCAATGTCAATAATGTCTTGAGCCCGAAAGTGCCGTGCTATGGCTCTGATAACTTTGGCTGTGATCAAAATGATTGCAGTGAATTCCTGCAGCCATTGCGATTGCTATCCAAGGATTTGTCCAGAGAACGAAATAGCTATCGCGGCAGGAGAACGACGCTGCGGCGCTTTAGTGCCGAGCTCAGGATGAACAGATCTAAGGAGAAAGACTTGGAGCAAGCTAAAGTCTCTATTAATGATGTAGCGAGTGACAGATGTTCAGCATTGGAAATGGATCAGGAAACGGGCAGTGAAGACTGCAGGCCTAAGAAAAAGTCGTATTCGGATGACTTGTTCATTAGCCGTCATCCCAGCTATACGATCAAGAATGTCGATTAGTAAAGCCAAATGCTAATTTCAATTTCAGTGCGAATTGTGTAATTTCAATCTGGTTCCATCTCAGTGCTCTGGAGTGTGAGTTTGTTTACATGCAGGCGAAAAAGAAATACAATGCACAGCTGCGTCGCGAAATGGAAAACTTTATTGAACAAAGGCCCAGAATATCCGAACAGTTTATCACCAGAAGGTAATATATGTCCTTTGTTCTATACTCAAATAGGCTTTAGATTGATGTTTTGTCTCAATTCTTTCAAGGCTTTTTGCCTATTCTACGCTGTGGCCACCACTCCATACGAAGGAAGAGCTGGACTATTTTATTGCCAACTTTTTTCAGCTGTCGCCGAAGCAAAAAAGTCGCTTAAATTATTTAATGACAACCGATATAGTATAAGCACTGAAAAGAGGTTTAAGTGCAGATATAAATATGTTACTTTAATATTGCATAAGTATTTTTAACATAAATATATTTGCAAGTAAACTTCTATTTACTGTAGTGGTTTTAATTTAATTTAATTTGCATTTCATTAGAAAAGCAAATATTTATTTACCTATCGATTTATTTATTTAAATACTATTTGCGTTTTATGTATTTAAAATTTAAAATTTTTGTTTTCTTTTGTTGTTCTATTTCTGTTTTCAAACACTTAACAATTGTTTGTCCTCTATTTATATATTCAATTGTTGCTCTGTTGTGTTTAGCTGTTTTTTGTTTTTTGTTTTTTTTTTCTTTTCAAGTGTTCAATAAATTCAATGGTAATTAAATTGAGCATTAAATACGGTGCTCCATATATAGGTGTACATATGTGCTTATCCAGGCATTTTTTTTGTTTTGTTTTATTTCAATTGATTTTGATTGTTCAGTCGATCATGAATAAATTCAAACTCATTCGAACTTTTTGTGTTTCTCACATTTAACGGGCGATTGTTTGTACATTTGTCCTGCTGTTTGAGGGGAAATCTGCCATTTGTCAAATAATATTTTATAACTGACTTTTATTTCTGTGTTTTTCTTTTTTTTTTTTCTTATTGAAAAAGCCGTGCAGCTGTGAATATATGTCACAATGTATGTGTATATATATGTGTGTTTATATATTTTTGGAATTGTTATTATGTTTCTGCCAAACAACAATATATGAAATATGCGAGTTATTATTGACCTGAGAATAAATATGTGTTTTGTTCGAAGTTCCGTTTGTTTGCAATGTTTTTGTGCTTGCCAATTACCGTTGATTTCAATTAAATTGATCAGAAAATGCATTCAATTCTGCAGAAATTTATTTGTGTCAGCCCATCACACGAAGTATTGAGTGAGCTCAAAAGAGAAGCTGTCGTTACAGAATATCTGCCTTACGAGAATGTCAGGTTATATGTCATAAGTATCAAAAATGTTGTATATATAGAATTAAAATTGACTGTAAGTAAAATATGAAATTGATTTAGCCTCCTTTTAAACATATTAAATGTTATTGACATCCAAAAGATTTTTTATCAATCGAACTTTTAGTATTTTTATATTAAGAAACGGATTTAATCAGGGAAATTTATTCTGATTCTGTTCATTCACATTAGGAATTTGGTATCTGATTTTTAAACGTACTAAAATGATCATAATTGTAGCTCAAATATTCAATTAATAATTTTAATAATCTGCTTAACTTCTACAGCTTAAAACCATTATATAAATATTAAAAACCAGTAAAATGAATAAAAAAACAAGACCCAAGAACCTTTTTTTTTAACAATTGAACTCAAAATCACCCAAATATGTAAAGATACAAAATCCCAGCTGAATTCTTAGAAATCTTTGCCCCCTATCCGCTGGGCATCATAAAATACAGGAGGGCAGGCACAATTATTGAAAACACTTTGCATGCCCGAGCTCATTTTCACATCGGCCCATGAATATTTAAGCCAAATAATGTGCTTTCTTAGGCAGCTAAACACTCTCCGCGGCCAGTTGCAAATATGCAAAATATTTGCGGGTTTCGCGCGCTCGCTAGCCCCAAGTGCCTGCCTTTTATTAAACTTTAATGTTAAGTACAGCCAAATTTGAAGAGCTGCTGTGGGCGTGGAAAAAGTGGTCCAGGTAAAAATCATCGCAGCCGCGGCCGGCATCCGCAACTTTATGCAATAAATTATAATTTCCGCATGTTGGGCCGCTATATATGTACGTATACGAATATATACATATGTACTACCTGTATAGGCACATTGGGGTTAATCACTTACAGTTTTGTTTTTATTACTCCCGCGACGAAAGGCCTTTCTGCGTGGTCAGCTGTTAAGTGTAGAAATGGGGTATATTGGCGGGAAGGGAGGAACAACATGATCTTTAACTTTTTTT